GATCAGGCGGTAAACTGTGGCCTGGAGGAAAAAGAGACATACTATCTGTTCACTGCAATCATGAGCTTTCCACGAAACCAATAGTTCCTGCAGGTTTGACCATACTTTCGAATAGCATCTGTTAGGTTGGAACGCCATTCACAATTAGAGCTGAATACTGGTTATTTCCCAAATTACTATTTCCTTGTTCTCCTTCATAATTATTTTGTAACTTAGTATGGACCTCATTGCTGTTTTGAAGACTCGTGAAATGCTGTACCAAAATGAACCCCATTGTGATTCACCGAACCGCATCCGTTTCATATCACATTTCCTTATCTTCTATAATTACTAACTCCCCAAATTGTGATTATCAGGGCTACAAATCAACGATCAGGTCAATCCCAAATTCGTGAGGTAGCTTAACATATTCTGTTTCTGTCAACTTGANCAACTTGACTGTGTCTTTTGTTTTGCCTACGAACAAAGCTCGTATGTTTCTTCTGGAATCCTTATTGAGTTCAAATGATCGAATTCTCAATATTGTATCAATCTTGTGACCAAATGAAGTGAACAAATCACTCCTTAGTTGAACTATAAACCAATTTAACAATGAGTGATTTTGAAAAATATTTGGACAGGAACCTAGGCTCACGGAATTGTTTTGGGCTGTAATAATGAAACTGCAGGTTGATAAATCAAGTTTGGGCGACAGGCTGTTGTTAACGAATCTTGCGCTCCAATTTTCGCCACGGCTTGTGTGAAGATAACTTTGGAATCTTGACAAAGAGTAAATAAATTCTTTTATAATTTGTCCTAATACGGTCTCTTATTGTTAAGTCCCATAATGAGTTTGACTACTTCTAGTGAGAAAATAGTGCGTCAGTCATGCTGGGGATGTGGTGTGCTCACGGAAACTCTTTCTGCCGATGTACCTATGTTTATACGGTCATTTTTGTATGAGTCATTCTTACATTTGTACTTCCATACGTAAATTAGACAACTCAAACTGTCAGTAATGCACTTATGAGAAATTTTGAGGCCATTCTGATACCAATGATTACGTATACAAAATATGTAAATATGTACGGTTCCCATGTCATAAAAATAATATCATAACCGGGGATTGGGTAGAAATAAAAGACGCAGTGAAGCCAGTTGTAGGTACTCGGAAAGACCTAAACAATGTAGAGAATGTGGGCAGCCTTCTTGTTTCTCACCCCCCCAACTGTTCATGACCCAGTGTTCATAAAATAAAGATAGTTAGCCTGATAATCACTCTCCAAAAGTCACAGTTTTAAACACAGTACAGAAGTTGTTTTGAGAGATAAATAGCTACACCATGCGGGCTGCTTGGTTTATTTGGGATAACATTTTCTTGCGGAATAATGTTGTGTCCCCCAACGGTTCTCGTTATTGTTTTCCATCGCACACGATAGTGTGTTCTACAAAAGTTAAAGATGCGAGCACATTGACAATCACAGAAAAAACGAAACTTATTACTGTTTCGGGAATGGACGCAACCGCGTTCCATGTCATTCTGGTCCCACCATCGCCGCACACGAAGCGGTGAGCTCTCATTGGTCGATAGTGGCAATCAGTGGACCAATGAGAATCGAGTCCAACTGATAAGACGATTTCGTCAGCTGAGATGTGAACGCACGCGATGGGATAAATTGTTATTCGGCAGCAAACGTTTGCAACAGAAAGCCTGAAGAAGTTCGATTTTTTCATTTTGCGGAGAAGATCGATAAGATTTCCTGGTATTCAAAATGTATTTGAAAGAAAGTAAAGTACAGGCAACTTTTGAATCACAAAATAAGGCCATAGTCATAATCGGAATTTTAGATAAAAATTCCTGAGTGAATCATTCTTTTCTTTTTATTCATTTCATTGATACAATGACATATGTGAGCCGAATTGATATCGACCATCCATTGATCGTGTTTCATTCATCTGTTGCAACCCACTTGTCCATCACTGCAATCTATGAATTTATTGCAACTTGTAGGTTTATTTGTTTGACGTGATCGTTTAAAATTAAGTTAATAGCTGAATGATTGATGCCGCTCTATCACGTGGCCGGTTTGGACAATCCATTTATTTTACTTCTGCCATTTTTCGTCTTGACAGTTTCGATTCAACGGTAGCCGATATGTTGGTAATAGACGCAATCTGTCTCAGCATAACAGCACCCAAAAACATGATGCATTTACCCATGTATTTCGAATAGGGCTGTACTCAAGTGATATGCTTAGTAAGCCTTTTCATTGCAAAGATATCAATCTATAGTTGTTTGTTGAGCGTCACGTTGCCAGGTGGCTTAGGCCTGGAGAGCTTTTTCTTCACAGATTCATACCCAGAACCTTCGGATAAATGGGAAACAGCAAGAACTTGAAAAGATCGCATATTGTTTAGAGTTGACTTTGGATCCGACGGATTTTACCTAATCGACGCGCGGTTTACACATTCTGTGTTGAACGAGACCGTCATAAAGCTAATCACAAACGGTCTGCCTTAGATATATTTTGTACACTCCCGTTCCTAATTATTTAAAAGTTTGGGCCTTCCAATCCCTCAGATGAGCCAGTAAAAGTATTTTAGCAGCAGTAGAGCCATGAATAAAATAATTCTGAAGACCGTGAATGATATGTGATACTGAAGACCTGTGCACAGAATACCGGGTTTCGCTTTCCAACTGATATCAATGTTTTATCTGAGTTGGTTTACTGCAATGAATGGGTTACGTAAAACAATGAACTTAGAGAAAATACTACAAATGAAAAATAGGCTTAAACTGTCTTTAAAGATAACCGAGATTTTAAGTTTAATAATGCACTTATATTGCATATATTGCTTATTTTGTGAGCATTTGCCTAAAAGGACTTTCAGACAATCCGATATATGTTGTTAGTATCTTCATCTACCGTAAACGTTATTACTTTTGAGAAATTATAAAAAACCATTATCCCGGTGCGACCATACCCTATTTAGTAAAATAGTGTTATGCGGGGGCTAAACCAAACGTTTCAGGAAACGCAGTACACGTACGAGGTGCAGATGACCGGATTAGGAAGGCGTAAAGTATAATCTATTAAAAATACTATTCAGTGATTGAAACTCACAGAACCAAATATTAACAGCCGAGCGCACCTCACAGATCATAAGGATTGCTATACTCGGACTGCAAGAATGGAAGTCAGTCAATGCCACTGAAGGGTGATGATTTTCCAAGACCACAAATATTGGTTTAACGTGGAAGCAATGTATTAATCGTTTACGAGCTTCCTTTGTTGATGACGTGCCTTCAAGAAGCACTGTGTATGAGTGGTTTGCGGAATTTAAGTGTGGCAGGCGGTCCCTGAATGATGAAACGGTGTGATCGACCTGTAGAAGTCACCACAGTGAACAGTTTTGTTGCTGTGCCAGCTATGGTGGAAGAGGATGCGCGGATGACAGTGACACAGCTGACGAAAACCATCGAGATCTCATTGGGATCAGTCTGCACCATCCTACGTAGTAGCTCGGCTTCCAAAAGGTTTGCATACGCTGAGTACCCCATCGGCTCAGGGAGGAGCAGAAAGCATTTCGGATGAATCGGTGCCGCATCATACTTGCCAGGTTTGATGGTGGATGTTCCAATGCAGTTTGGGAGATCATCGGTGCTGATGAGACCTGGGGGTACAGTTTCGACCCAGAGACAAAGTAGCGACGGGCTCTGTGGACACCTGTTGTTGGGGCGCCGCCTTAGATATTCCGACGCGTGTGCAGTGTGACCAAGCAGATGGTGGCTGTGTTCATTGTTGAAACCGGTTATGTGGCTACTGTACCGCTCGTACAGCAAACAACGGTCACTGTATGCCACCCAGTCTGGGGGAAGTGCTGCAAGCTGTTGCTAGGCTTCGTCTCAGGACTCGAGCACGAGAGACCTTGCTGTACCGTGACAACGCACCCATGTCGTCGGTGATTTTCTGACTGGAGAACGCATCCAGGAGGCTGTTTACCCTCCCTACAGTCTAAACCTGGCTCCATGTGATATTTTTGTGTTCCCATATGTAAAGCGCGTGATGCGCAGAATTCGATACGAGTCATCAACAGCTGCAATGGAGGTCTTCATTGATCGAACTGATCGAAGGGTTATCCACTGCGGCATGGTCGAGCTGTTTCACTTAATTGTTTGAGCACATGAAAATGTGCATGAACGCTGGTGGAGGATACTTTGAGAAAATGTAATGCTTATTTGTGAATCCAGAAACGTTTTTCTCAGCCCTCGTAATCGCTTTCTTCGTTTCAGCTTTATTTCGATTTTCAGTTTGACGGACCAGCACCAGTTGAGTCGCAGTATGACAAAACCATTAATTCGCCCTGACCGCATAATCAGATGAAATGTCTGTCTTCAATGAAAAACCTGTAAATCGTGTACACATGCATTGGGTATGCGTTAACTTTGGTTTTTTCTCGCTTGTACACCTCCTTATGACGTGACCCGCTCCCGAACGTTGTACTCAACGTCAGTCAAAACCAAACCACTTCAGGGTTGAAGTGCACGAGAATTTGGTTGTGAATTTACAAACAAGTGGACAGACCCGAAGCAAACGGAACCGAATGAATCGCCTTTTCATAAGTGCGGTTGGTAGATTGTGTGACAGAGGAAAAAAATGGGAATGAACAGAAATAGAAAGAACAGCGTGTTCAAGATTTTGTCATTGACTATCAAATTAAATAATGTTTTCATACTATCAGGGATAGTGACATAGGTAACTCATTTAATTGACTCGCTACTACTTCGTGGGAGTTCGGAGAGGTAGTTGTCTATTGTCTTTAGCTTATATGGGACTAAAACAGTCTGCCACAGTGAAAACAAACACGAGAAAAGCGAATGAGTTAATTTTGGTAAATATTCCAACAACCGTCGTTTACCTATAAGCTGCAAAACAAGCTTTCCTGCAGCTAACGGTATGAAGATATCACAAGTTACATAGATATAATCCAACTAAGGCTTGTCAACACATGTTCGTACCCCATTCCCATATTGATTGTTTTTGAATTAATTTGACAGAAATTTACCGAGGGCCATCTACATAAGTGTGGCTGTAGTCACTGTGGTCTATGTACTATCCAACGTGGCCTATTTTACATTACTTCGCCCGGTGGAAATTCTCGATTCGAATGCAGTGGCCGTGGTAAGTTATACAACATGTATGGTTTCCTTCCTCTTGATTCGCAAATCTTTCCCTAAGTTCTGGCCACCCCGTGCACCAGAACAAAGAATATAAAACTGTTTTCGTGTATTCTTTTATACCTTATGGGGATTACAGAAGATGAACAGATTGATATAATTGAATAAATAAGTAACTAATAAATCTCAAAGGTGCTTTAGGTGTCGTTTAAAAAATTTACTTATCTCAATTGCTCACTAGCTCTCAATGGCTGAATACTAAAAAGCTGCTCGTGGTTTGGGTACATTTATAGGCAATTGTTCGCTCGACAAACTCAATCAAACAAAATGGTCACATGATGTTCCAGAATAAAGATAATACACGGGTTCATCTTAAATAAATGATACATCCAATTTTTTTAATTACCATATAACTGATCTTGAATACAATTTTAGACCGTGTCCCAGTCAGGCAAAAGTTAACATTTTGAGGGGTCGTGTTACTTGACAGACGGATTTCTTTTTCTAATAATCGAATTAGGACTACTTAAAGCGCTGATTTTAAAGTGAATTCATCTTTTTCAAGTCCGAAGATGATCTGGATTGCTTGCACTCTCCTGCACCTTATAATTATCTTAACCAGATGTTTGGGTAGTGTGCTTTTGCTATATTCACTACACTTTGTGGTAGATTAATAGCTTCGGGGCTGTTGAATGCTTAAATATATGACCATTTCTATCGCAGTTTAACAGGACAATATTAGTAGGGAGGACGTTAGCTTAGGATAAATTTCGATGGGCATGACATTTGTATACTTTATTTTGTTAGTTCCAATCGTAGATATCCATTTGG